CGCCACCATTCCCAGTCTCAGTTTCTGTCTCAGTGCACCCCAGGGGCAGGGCTGGCAGGCCTGGGGATTGAACCCTGAGCCCTGCGCCTGCTTGTAGGAGCTTTAATCTGCTGAGCTTTTTGGCCAGCCCTATAGTCTGATTTTTAATTTAGAAATTAACATGTAGAAAGTTACTAATTTAGGAATTTTATTCTTATATGAAGAGAATGCTTGGTGCCTTTGTCAACCTACATTTAATCTTCTGTTGTGATATGTTAATATTTTCATTTACTCTAGAAGCATTTACTTTTTTGGACTTTTGGAAGATAATTTGGTGTAACAAATTTAATTATATATACTTGAGAGTTCATGTCTTGTTAATTGTCAGTTGCAGATAGTCATTATTATTTGTCACTCGCTTGTTAAGGTAACTGGGGAAGTAATGTTGTCATTATTGGTTGGCCAGGGTTTTCTTACATTTAGAATTAATAGATGTGTTATATACTGCACAAAATATTTTTGAGTCAGACAAGGTCATAAGTGAAAGCACTTTAATAGCATATTTCAGGTCTGGAAAAGATTTTTAAAAATGTTTTTTTTTTTGGTTGGGCGTGGTAGCACATGTCTGTGATCCTGATACTTGGGAGGCTGAGGCAAGAGTGAGTGCAAGGCCAGCGGGAACCATGAACAAAACAAAAACTTGCTTGCCTCCTTGTTACTTAGTGTAGTTCTTGTTACAGAACAGTGTGTGTGTGTGTGTGTGTGTGTGTGTGTCTTGGGAAGCAGGGCAAAGAGAATATCTGCTTATTTTTTGAGTGAATAACTAAAAGATGTCTGAAAAAGTTTAACTGTTGTATAAAAATTGCATGGTTTACTATAAGTAACTATCTTAAAATTCTTAACAATTTTAGGTAGTATTGCTGTTTATTTTCTTTGGAGTTGAAACCTGATCTCAAAAAAAAATTTCAAAAAAAAAATGCTGAGAAAAAGATAGTTGTAACGTGTTCTAGTCTGTGCAGTGCAAAGTCTACAGGAAACTTACTTTGAAAAATAGTATTTATTATAGTCTTACTTACACGTTTCTATGATGTTTAATTTCAGTTTGTTTTTAAGATGGCATAATGATCTTCTCTGTGTTGACCTAAAGTATCTGTGTGCTTACCCTAAAGTTGCATCTTTGTTCCTTCAGTCGTCTAGTCATTCTTTTGTTCTGGGTTGTTGAACATCTTAAGTGTCAAGACACTGTCAAATTGCTTTACAGATTTATACTGTGATTGAACAAAATTAAAAATGTGGAATATTTTAAATATTACAAAATAGCATTTAAATGCAGTTATTGTCATCAGATTCTTTAGTCCGGAAGGTATATTTAATAAAACCAGTTAGTATAAGTTCTAAATGGAATCAGCCATCAATTTCATGTGACTTTTTTTTAAGAATAGAAAAAATAGATTACTCAAATATTAAAGCTTAAATGAAAAACAACATTTTGTCTGTTACATAATTCATTGTAGAACACCTTTCTATAGCAATTGTGGCTGTAGAAGGAGGTGAGCTTTGCTCTACCCTAGGAAACAATTGGCAGGATTCCAGCTCATCTTGCGTCTTGCAGACTAGTGTTTTTAGGAACATGGAAGACTGAGTAGGAGAGTATAGATGACTTGGTACAGGAGTATGCCACTGTAGGAAAATTAAGTCAGAGAGCATGCTTTTATGTAAAGAGCATAAGAAGCATTTATTTCTAAATTATTGATCTTAATAGTATGTCTATGACATTTTGTAAATTCTGTTCAAAGTGAGCATCATTTTAGGCAGGATCAGGGTTTAAAGCTGAAAATTATGATTATGGGTATAATTTGGTAAAAAAGTAGATAAACCATTCTCTATAAATAGGGCCAGAGAGATAGCTCAGCAACTAAGTGCCTGTTCAGGCAAGCACAAGGACCGGGGTTAGGTCCCTAGCACCCCGGTGCACTGATCCAGCCACCAAGTCCTGCTGTGGTGGCGCATGCCTGTCATCCCAGTGCTGGGGAGGCTGAAACAGGAGAGTCACTATGAGTCTGAGCTGTATAGTGAGGCTCTATACCAAATACAATATCAAAAAGTCTTCTCTATAATTAATGCTTGAGTTCACTGGAGTTTTTAAATTTTGCTTTACTGAACAGTTTATTGACAGTTGAATGCTAAATATATGAGCATGTATATCACTAATGACTTTTATTTAAAAATCTAGTTTTTAGGACAATTTACTGTGAAGTGAAATCATTTTTATATGTTTCAGAGTGTTGCTTTGTACCGAAGAGGCAGTTTCAGTAGAAAGCCTGCGGGCCTGATTGCCTGGGCTTGCTTCTGCTGTACAGTGGCTGTGTGCTCTTGGGCAAGTCACTTCATGTGTAGTCATTTTTTCTCCAATTGTAAAATGTTGGTCCATGCACCTTCTGAAAGATAATATGATAAAGATTTTGATAATAAACTATTTAAAAGATTGGTTTTGAAAATACTTTTTTTCTAGTGTTTTATACAAGGATATTTTAATGTAGATTACTTTTAAGAAGAAGTATAAGGTTATTGGTTATGCATCTTTTGTCTTCCTAATTATTATTTGCTCATATCCCACTTTAATCACCAAGAATAATATATAAATTTTCTTTTACTCAGGTTATAGTTAGAAACAAAGAATGGCCTTACTGGATGTAGGTTCCCTTGCTACAAGTATAAGAGAGGAGAAAGACTGCTAGAGTTCAGTTCTTCTGTTGACATCATTTTGCATCTCTGTTCCTTAATGTTTAATTTATGCTTCTTTACTTAGTGAGCTGACACTTTTAGTTATCTAGCACTGTTATGTAGCCAGTCTGCCATATTTGGTACCTGGGAATATTACATTAATCATTAAAATGTTTAGAGTCTTTCCTAAAGATTTTTACTGGGGGGAGTGGTTTTAAAATGGTGAGTGGGTCTTATATAACTTCCTTTTGGCGATTTAGACTTTGCTGAAATAAATTACACATTTTTTTATTTTTACATGTTTATTTTACTGTTGCCAATGATGCTTCATGATATGGCTTTTAGATTTTTCCTAAACTTTTTTATTTATTTATTTGATACAGGGTCTCACTATGCAATTCAGACTCATAGTGATCCTCTTGTCTCAGCCTCCACAGTGCTGGGATTACAGGTGTGTGCCACCATGCACCCCGTTTTGGGCATGCAGGTCTGGGGATTGAACTCGGGTCCTTGTGCTTGCTAGGCAGGCGCTTAGATCACCGAGCTATCTCCCAGCCCAATTTTTCCTAAACTTATTTGACCAAAATAGTGTATTTTTATTTCCTGGATTATCTTTAATTTAGTATTCTGTAAAACCAAATGCATAGTATTTTGAGAAAAAACCCCAGATTCCAATATCCCTTTTTGACTCTAAAGCAGCAAACCTTATTATGATGTTGAGTGGCCCTGGCCTTACTGTGGGTATTGTCTTTGATCTCATGGCATGTGAGGCAAGGGTGGGCTTGTGTTGATTCACATAGCCTTTGTCAGGCTATTGAGGGAGGCTGTTTAGTGAGTGTTTAGTCTTTGCTGCTGATTGCAAAATGATTCTGCTCTGTACTTAATTTGCATTGAAGAAAGACCTGTAATCTGGCTCAGTACTAGCTAGCGAGTCTAACCTTGAATTTACTACTATGTATTATTTATCAGAACGCAGGTTGATGGAATAGTGTGGTTGTATATTCTGTCCACATATTTTTCTAATTATCTGCATCTACAACTTATGCTTTCCAGGAGGACCATATAATATTCAACCGCCAATACCATGTCTTTGGAAAAGTAGAAATGCTTTAATTTATGTTAACATTTTCCTTTTTAGGTTGATAAGGAACAATAGCAATACTCCCTTGAAATGTGTTGCTATATATGTAAGGATGTTTTGGGGAACTTTATGATACAAGGTATCTTAAGTCCCAATGGAACTGTATTTCTAATTTTTGTCTTAAACACTGTATTCTTTTTGGGGAATCTCTTTAAAAAAAATCTTTCTGGATACTGTAAATATTGAACATGTTTTGTTTTGTCTTCCTGAAACCTTTTGACCCCTATCTTGTTTGCTTTGTCTTTCTGAAAACTTTGTGCCACATTTGTGGTTCATCTTTCATAAATGTGTAGAGTTTTTTTTTTTTTCCTGGCTTCCTTTTATCTTAAGTCTGTGTTGTTTGGAATTAATTTGGGTTCTTGTTTGGAATTAATTTGGGTTCTGCAGTTAGCCAGCCTGAGCTCAGATCTGGGCACTATCACTTATAGCTGTGTGGGAATCTGGCAAGTGGTCTGATCTCTGCAAGCCTGGGTTCCTCGTCTGTGAAGTACAGGGAGTTAGTGCTAACCTGACAGGACTGTTGTGGGGATCCTTGAGAGTGATAGATGTAAGCACCAGTGACAGGTCAGCACCTTTTGCATACTCCATTTTTTTCTACTTTCATATTCCTTTTGTTTCACTTTCTCCACACACTATATTTTAAAAAAGTAAAATGATTTTGTATTATGAACTTATTGTAATCTACCTAAAATATTTATTGGAACTTGACAGAATAATATATAAATGTTGGTTTCTTGATACATTGAGTTTTACATAAAGTATAACAGAAACATTCATATTTGCCATAACTTTCTAAAATTACAGAGATCTAAGCCACTCTTAAATCTTTTACTCTTTCATTCTTCGCCCTCAAACACGTGACTGTACAAATTTTCTGAATTATTTGTATAGGTGTGACAGTAGTTTTCTTGAAACATGTTTATTGTAACCTCTTAGCTTAAAAGTTTCACTATCATTTGAAATCTGTCACAAGACCAGGGAAGTGCATTCATTATGGAACTATTTAATAAATAAGCTCTCCAGTCTGAAGAGCTAGACTTTTATGTGAGGTCAGGCCAGTTGAAGGCATTTACAAAGAACTAGTTGTTTGTTATTGCTGTGTGAGTTGCAAGAATGGAAAAAAAAAAGAAATTCTTTCTTCAATACTTCCTTCCAGGCTGAGTCATCACTAGAGAGTGGGAAGGGCAGCAGCAGCCAAGAATCCAAACCCTAAAGCTGATACCACAAAGTACCTTTTCTCGAAGTTGAGGGCTCAGAGGGGAGCCATCATGAGCGATGTTACCATTGTGAAAGAAGGTTGGGTTCAGAAGAGGGGTAAGTGCTCAACAAAACTGATGTGGTTGGCGATTGTGCTGAATGAGGAAGGGTGTCTTGGAAGCCGATGTTTTTGTGATGCTGTTAAACATGCTGTGTCTGTTAAGAGAGAAATGATTTGTTACATGTATGTTAGGGTTTCTCACTACAGATTTTTTTGAAATTCTCAATTTTTGATTACTATTGAGTTATGCAGACAGACTTGACTTTCGAGTGTGTTGTGTTTTTCTGTGATGTCCATAAATTCTGTAATCTGCGGATATCTTTAGAATCATTTAATGTCTAGGAAGGGGCTATTTTTATGCATTTAATGACATGTAAATATATAAAGTATTTAATTAAACCAGTTTGGATAGTGGCAGAGGACATAAAGTAGTATAGCAGGAAGGATGCCAACCCACAAAAGCTCAGGGTCTAAAAATCACAAAATTTTTTTGTGTGTTGATGTTTAATTTTATATTTTTACTTTTCATTATGTACTTATATTTCCTATTTACTCTTTAGATAAATGTGTTATTATCTTTTAGTATTAAAGAACTCTTTATGTAAAGCTTGCTTATCTGCGTTTACTTATCTGGTCAGTGTTTTTTAGAAATCTACAGTTAGAATAGTTACTAGGCAACCACTGTTTACCCACATGACCAAGTTGACTAGGATGAGGACTTTTCCATTCTTAGGAGCTTTTAGTTTCTGTTTATCTATTTTCTGGTTAAAAGTTACCTGTTAAATATTGATCTTCATATTATTTGGATATCTGTAGTTAATACTTATGCTGAAAAGCTGTTGTCAGTAATTCAATGTGATTGTGTATTGTGCTTTTAAATCAGCTTTATTGAGCTGTAATGTACTTACAATAAAATTAAGGAATTAAAAGTTACACTTTGATAAGTCTTGCCAAATGTTTATAGTGCTATAACAAACTGCACTTGTGATAAGGTTTTCATCACAGCAAAGAGTTCCTTTGACACAAAGGAACTCTTTGAAGCCCAGTCCCTGTCCCTCAACCCTGGCATACTCTAATCTATTATCTGTTACTATAATTTTGTTGTCCTAGAATTTCATCTAAATGGAATCATGCAGTTTGTTGTCTTTTGTGTGTGGTGTCTTTCACAGAGCATAATACTTTTAAGATACCATTTTGTGTATATCAGTTTGTTCCTTTTTATTGTTTATTATTTTAAGGTCTGAATGTATTATTGTTTGTTCATCTGTTTAAGAATTGATGGACGTTTGGGCTCTTTCTAGTTTTGGCTGTTATGAATAAAGCTGCTATGAAAATTTGAATGCAAGATAAATTTTCGTTTATCTTGTGTAATAACCTAGGAATCAGATTTTGAGGTCATATGGTGAGTGTATATTTAACTTTACAATAATGTATGTGTTTAACTTCATTAAAGTTGCCAAACTTTTTAAGGTGGGCAGCCATTTGTTTTGTTAAGTTTACTTTCATGTTATTCTCATAAATTTGGGGACATTTGTATACTTTAGTGCTTTCTCGAGGTTTTTTTTTTAGTTATTTATTTTAAAATTTGCCTATTACGTGTGTCTTTTCCCTTTTTTGGGGGAAGGGTATGGTCAATCACAAACTTTTTGAAGTTTTACTTAATAATCCCTAAGCCTTTCACAGCATTATCATGAGAGCTAAATGAGATAATAGATATGGATAGATATATTTTGACAGCCTACCATAAATGTAAAGTATTGATGTATCTACATGTTTGTTAAGGTTTAGAGTGGTTCTTGAGTTTGCTTAATTTCTTACCTGAAATATCATAATAGAAGTTTAGTATTTAGTGCACAGAATATAGAAAATTATGAATTAAGAATTTCTCAGTGTTTTTCCTGTATTGATCAGAGAAGGAAGATCCTGCTTGTGTGTGTGTGTGAGTGTGTGTTTATGTGTGTTTATTTTGAGAAGTAGTAGTCATATAGATAGAAGAATTTGAATAGTACTTTATCATAAAATGAAAAGTAAAAATGCTGCCTTCTAGTTTTTCTACTTTCTTTCCTCAGGAGTAATCATTTTAGACCTCTATTTTTAAGTCTTCTGATCATTGTAATTGTATGTATAAAGTACTAAATTTTATTTTTGGCTAACCATTCTCATGTAACCTAGTGTCTCCATTTTGAAAAATCGTCAGTAATTTAACATTTTTTTTTCTAGACTGGGGATTGAATCCAGGTCTTTGGCGTAAGGTCCATCCCCAGCCTTTTTTGTAATTTGAGTCAGGTTCTGAGTTGCCTCAACAGGACTCAAACTTAGGATCCTTCTGCCTTAGCTTTCCTAAGTGCTTCCCCAGGTGTGGGCCACTGTGTCTGGTAATAGTATTTCCACCTTTCTCCCTTTTCCTTTTCTTTTTTGGGGGGTTGCTTTTATAGTTCAACTTCAAGCTGTTGGATACTGAGCTTCAGAGAGTCTGTAGGAGAATATTTAGATACTAACTCTAAATGCTTTACAAGTTGTGGAAATTGAGTATTCCTTACCATTTTTCGCCTCACTTTCCCTCCCCAACATGAGTTAACTATGACATGTACTCTGAATTGTCAAGGTCTGTAGTTATGCTTGTTAATTCTGGAAAGCAGAAAGCAGTATTATGATTGTATGAATAATTATGGTATGATGGGATGCTTAGAGAGGAAAGGGATTTTGTGTAGTCAAGATAATGCCAAACTTTAGTTTGGCTTCTAGTCTGGACTACGATCCCTTTTCCTGGACTTTCTGATTGCTATATTTTGCTTCCTGTTGGCAGAACTGTGTGTGCCTTCTTCATCTTAATACTTAGTTATTGAGCTTTTATTTGTTTATTTTTTGGTACCTGGGATTGAACCCAGGACCTTACACTTGCCAGGCAGGCACTTAAGCTGCTGCGATATCTCCTGGGCCCTCAGCTTTTAAATCATATTACTTGTTGATATTATTATAAGGTAAACAGACTTATTTCTATATATTGATGCTCAATTAACATCATATTATTTTGTTCAATTCTCTGAAAAGTTCTGTGATTTCCTAAACCTCCTTCCTTCTTTTGGGTATTTAGTTGTACTTTTCTAGAATATTTCTTTTCTCTCTCTCTCTCTTTATACACACACACACACACACACACACACACACACACACATATATATATGTATATATATTTGGTACAGGGTCTCATTACACAGCTTGGACTTGTAGTGATCCTCCTGTCTCAGCCTCCCCAGCGCTAGTATCATAGGCGTGCGTGCATCCTCATGTCTGATTTCAGTGGATGGCGTGCTGGGGTTCCAGGGCTGGCGCTACAGATCGAAGCCGGGTTCTTGCACTTGTGCTGAGTCATCTCCTCAGTCTGGGAAATCTTTTGTTTTGGTTATTATTTCATTTATTCTTTGTGTTTTCTGTAGCTTCTAAATTAACCTACTGCTTCACTTTTTTTTTTTTTTTTCATTTTCCATGTCTTTTTTTTTTAAAGGAAAAAATGAGGAACTATTATTTCGGTTAATTTTCTTGATTTATTTTTTTTCTTCTGGTCCATCATTGAAAAAAGTTTTAAACTATTTATATTTCTGGGTAGTCTTTTTAGTTCATAGTCACTTACTTTTTTAATCTTAGGCTATTTGTTAGACTTTCTTTTGAAGTTTTCCTCTTTGAATAAATTTCAGTTTATTTATGGGAATGGTGTTTTTCGTCAGGTTTCTGCTGATTTTATGAGAAGGACTGGGTTAACTGATAGTGAACTTTATTTGCTTGTATAGATTTCACTGAATTAGGATTTGTGATGGTATAGATTTCACTGAATTAGGATTTGTAATAGTTATACCCTTGAAAGCATTAATTGAAAAACTAGAAGAAATCAAGTTTGTTATTTTTCCCTTTACTATTCTTAATTTATCCTTTTAGAAAATTTCAGATACTAGTACTTAATTTTTCAATTTTTATTTTATTTTATTTTTTGTTTTGGCTGGCTCAGGATGCCTTCAGGGCAGGTCTGGTAAGGCTTGAGGATCTGGTTCAATTTTTATTTTAAGTCAAATAAATTTCACCAGGCACTACCTAAAAAAAATTAAAAAATCACCAGGTAGTTTGTTCAGCATTGTTTTGCTTCAAAATTGTTTTGCAAAATTGTATTTCAGACTGTGCTTGTTTACCTTGGGCCGATTATTATCACCTGACCTTTGTTATTAGTGAAATGTTAGTGAGTAACCTTGGTTGTTTGTAATGTAATAGTGAAATCCTGCTTTCCTGTTATTTTCAGGAACAGTTGCAGAATGTTGAGAATTCTTGTTGATTGTATGAATGACAGTAAAAATGTCATGTTGGGGCCGGGGAGGTGGCTCAGGGGAATAAGCACTTCCCTGGCAAGTGCAAGGGTCTGAGTTCAATCCCTGGTTAAAAAAAAAAAAAAAAAAAAAAGGTCATGTAACAAACATAGAAAAAAGTATTACTACATTATCTTCCTTGGTGGACCTGGGAGCACATTAAATGAGTCAGAGATAGGAGGACCACAAGTCTACACTGTGTAGTGAAATGCTGTATCAAATACATAAATTAAAAAAGAATAATCCTGAGCTTTGAAATAATGAAATGAGTACCTGACCCAAGTTGCTTTATGAAGAGGTTCAGTTAGCTCACAGTGTTAGCGATTCAAGGGCATCCATAGTGATGGTTGACCAGAGCCGGGGCGCACAGGCCATCATGTTTGCACTTAGCAGCACTGGAGAGAGGATGAAAGGACCAGGTTTGTGCCTTTTATAATAATTCTCTAGTGAGGGCTAAACAGACAACTAGCTGGTGTGATCATGCTTCCAGTGACAGGGACCTCTCACTGTGTGCCTAACCTTACACCCCACAAAATTTCTTCCCATCTTCCAAAATATTACCCTGAGGCCAAGTTTCCAATCACCGTGCATCCAAGTGGACACTCTGACCTAGAACTAAGTAGTCTTGAAAGTATGGAAAATCAGTTCCTTGATAATAATTAAAATCTAATAGTAGTAACTGGGTTGAAATTGGAACATGATTA